GAGCAGCTATGACGGAAAAAAAGTGAAGCAGATCTTCAAGGTAAACAACCCGCTACGAACACTCATAATCCTTCTTTGTTGAGTCCCAATTAAATGCACCTTTGAACCCTTCTCCCGTAGAGACGAGATGGGTAGCCACCAGCCGAGCATTAGCAGCTATTAGGTAAGTCTGAGCCCTTAGGGGATCGACAGTTATCAGTAGTTCTTCGGGGACTGATCTGAATTGTATCGAGATGAATAAATAAACATCAACTAGCACGAAAACTAAAGAACAGCCTCGGAAACAGCTGGTCCGCCCAGCAGGCAAAACTGGTCCTAGCGAAACCACGTTAAGTGTCCGCATACAAAAACCATTTCGCATAGAGCATAGATAAATCAGCGAGTTCACCACGCTAAGGTTTTGCGAAAGGTGAAGAACATTAGCGAAAGAATCCAAAGCCACAAACTCAACTCGTCTAGCCGTAGCGCTGGTGTTTGTTTGTCATTTCCTGACCCAAAAAAACCTCTCATCACCAAGATCTTCCTTATCAAGAGCAAGGAAGCGCTCATTAAATCCGTTTATCAGCGGTTCGGAAACATTGATAATTCTATTAAAAAATCAATAATAACAGCTGGCCATTCGAAAAGGTTCGAAGTAAGTTGGACCTCATTTATCTACCTGTACGGTAACCAGTTGGTTCAGCTGAATGCACCCGACGTGGCAAATCTCTCGGTACCGTGTTATTATCTCGGATGATGAGTGCATCACTGACTAGCGCTGACAGGTGACCTTTGATTTCAGAAAGTGGTTTCAAAAACTAGACGCCGTTCACCCTTCACGACCCCACAATTCCGAACTCACTTCGGCAAATGCGACCAGAAATTTGTACCGACTTTGCCTCGCTGGAGACCAATCACAAGGCTCTAGCTCAATGCAGCTCTCAAATTCCGTGTGCTTTGGAGTGTCAAAGCAATTGGCGCGCACTTGCACGCTTTGAGCATGGGAACGATCTACCTCTTGAGTATGTGTCACTTCCAGTAGTGCAAACCACCTCCGCAACTCAGAATTAATGGTCCACGCACCTCTCGGGTAAACGGACCGTCAAAGTTGCCCTCAGGCAGCGCGACAAATTCACTGAACCCATTAGGCTGACGATTTGTCATGTAGAACTGTGAAGGTGTAATTGGCTCCCATTATGACAAGAATCTGCGGGCTTCTTAGATGTCTTGCTATTTGGAAAAAAATAAAACTCGCGGATTGATATGGAATGTTAGAGGCACTGTTTTTTAAACAACAGTTTACTTTACTACACTTTACCAACCAATTATTATTGTCAGGAGACCGATTGCCCTACCTTGAGAAGAAATTTATCTGGCAATTCCGCATCTTTAGGCTGCCAATCGGCTTCGACGAGAGCAGTCTTGACAAGAAACCCTGAAAGACAATAATTTCAACAACAGCTCTGATTCTTGCAAAGCTGATTCTATCTTAGCTGTAGAAGTCGCCACTGGGAGGTGTGTAGGGATCCTGCAAGGTCGCAACTAGTTTAAATGCTCCGGTTTTCAATTATCTTTGGGACGTGGATACGATAATTCGATTCCCTGCAGAAAACGGAAGCAGTGAAGCTAAATAGTGCGAAAGTGAAGCAGAAATGGGGCAATAGGGCTATGTACGGCGGGAAAAGGGTCCTTATTAGTAGCTTCATTTGAGAAGTGGATGAGCCTATGTCTGAAAATATTCATCGCTGGCTCAAGGTCAATGAGGAATAGCGATGTAACTTTGGAAAATTATAAATTTATGCAACGGGGCTGTAGGGCCAATATGATACGATGCTTAAAAACTGGCTCAACGCTCTGTCTTGATGATTTTCAAAGTAGACAACAGTAAACACACCTTGCCATCTCCCATGACGCAAACGGACTTATTTCGGTCCAAATGAAGCTGTAGTGCCCAGCTCGCGCCGCATTTTCCCTCTCTATGGTCCTCCCATGATAACATGAAGTGTCGAAGAAACACTCATGATGAAAAGACTGTTGGCCGTGTGAAGATCTACTCTACCCATATTCTCAGGGCTCTGCAGAAAGAAAATAGAAATACTTTGGGCAGAACATGAGTATCTGTGTATACCGCGTCGACGTCCTCTCGCCTGATTTCTGCCTCCAGTTTCTAAAGAGCAAAGGAAAGGACTGGACGGAGGCACCTGTGAGGGCGCTTGGAGAAAGCGTACTTGGCTCAGTTGTGAGCGCGGCAGCGACTGCGTACTGATGCGCGCGCGTAGCGCTAAACTTCTCATTGTCTCTCATTTTTCCAGCCCTCTGCCATTCCGAACCAAACATAAATTTCTTGGCATAGGTGGCTCCTAGATACGAGCGTGCTCCGCCCACTGTGGACAGGTCTCCGCACAGATCAGATCAGACCTGAACCTAGTTATGAATTTCTGTGGCAGATACCGCCCATGTAGATCACTCTCCGCTCACCGTAGACATGTTTCGTCGTCCGCCTGTCCGTTTCCTATGGTTTCTCATTTTTTCCGCACTCCGGGCTCCTCTAGAATCGAATTACGAATTTCTGAAAATTTTGTGGCAAGCAGTGCCCCTCCGGAGTGTGCTCTTTATCCGTGGGCGTGTACCCTACATTTCGTATGCCTACCTAATTCCCTATCGCTTCCTAGGTTTCCCGCTCTCCAGGCTTCTCTGGAATGGAACTGCGAATTTTCGAAAAAGGTAGAGGGCAATGATAGTTTGACCCGCTGAACACGAGTATCCGTTTGTTAAAAAAAATCGTCCGGCGCCTGCGCCACAGGCGCTGGAACACCTGAAATCTCAAGGTTTGAAAAGCTTGTTTCCCAAGGGTAGTTTGACCTGCTTAGCACAAGCACCTTTTCCGCTTGAACATGGCACTATGTACAACGAGTTGCCAAGCGCATCAGCAATGTGCGATGCATTCTGCGTCTGATACAGTCTTATTCACTGCGATTGTTGGGGCGTGTCAAGGAGGGAGGGGGTGGGGGATGGTTTGGCTTTAGCTTCGTCTACTTTCTTTTTTTCGGCAACCTACAAGGCTCTATTATGTCGTACAAATCAGTCGTTTTCCACCGACTATTGTTGCTTACCCGCTTCAACATTTTGTGGAGAATGGGCTGGCGGTGTGCCAAACGCAGCCTCACTGACACGCCCCATCACCCACAGCGAAAAATCTGTAAGTCTCTATGAGTTCACTGAAGAAGCCATCGTTCAATGTCAGGAATCAATGAATATCATCAAAATATTAACTTCTGTGTATAAACACGAAAGCAAGTGCTATAAACATTTTTATTCTGGAGTCTTCACTGTACACATAACTTAGTACAAATGTGAAGTATCTCCCAGTCCTTATCTATTCAAAACGACGAATAAAAGGCAGTAAGTATAAATAAATAAATAAATTAGACCAGAACATAATCATATCGGTAGTGTTCTTAACCACAGACAACGAGAACGGTGTAATAATGACCAAACATATTTCAGCATTTTTAATGATTGAGGCATCAGGGAGGTGAGATTTCACAATAAATATGGTGCTGAAATGAAGTTCATTACAACTATTGAACAGAGACTAGAAACAGCGACTAGCGATCAGTACAGTCAAGCTTGAGACCTCGTTCTTGCCCCTCAAAGACGACCTCTTTGTGCTCCGCAAGAGCAACAGTCGCGGCGGTGTTGATGACAAAAGGCATTCTGACAAAAATGAAGCCCTTTTCCGGAAGTTCAAACAGCTTCTAACTAGGAGTATTTAGGGCCTGCAGCCGCCGTGGCGCAACCGCACGCATTGCTTGAATTTTGTTTTGCACAGAAGTCGTCTTTCCGGGGCAGTCTTAGAATTAACAGTGAATAACAGTAGAGAGTAGCAGTGTGATGAGATCGAACCGATTAGAGGTGATTACGGCAGGGCATTGTTTGGTTCTAGGTGAGTAGGGAGGTATCTAAGAAATGGCACCCTTGTGCGTTAAAAATTCCATCAACGTCTCGATTTCCACGTTGATATTTGCTGTTGCTCGCCTGATCCGTTGAGCAATCTCGTCCGTTTCACAGTCATCGAAACTCCGCCCACAAAACGACGCTACCATCGCTTGTGCTTGTGCGTCCTCACTGGAATTAAGAAAAAACAATTATACGGTAAGTTGGTTTACCACAACGAATATACACACGTGCAGATAGCCAACGATAGCGCAAAGAACAACCAATACCACGGACAGTATAGAAGTACAAAAGGATGTATTGTCACTAAATATTGAAATTACTGTTTTTTTTTAGGTTCACAATAACTCTTAAGAAACTGCTGCAAATAAGCTGAAAAAAACACATTGCTTTCCCTTTAACTAGAAATTCTGCAAGGAGAGTACCTTCAAGGAATCCCCCCGCCCTCCGTTCTCGCTCTGCCCCTTTTGACCCTTTTGAAAATGTTCTTATGATGGCATGGCAAGATACAACAGTCTAGGCGTGTCAAGTAACAGATGTCCAAGCATTTGATAGAAGTACAGGAGTCCAGAGCATTTTCGAAAGTTGGGAATGCTCCAGAAACTGGACTGGTGGCCATCGGCAATTCTTAATTTCTGGTTGTTCATTTTCGTTTCACTCGCGCGCCTCAGCTGACCCCTCCCGACGGCATTACTCGGGGGAATTCTGGCGCTGTTGCGGATTTAGCGGGAGTGGGGAAGTTTGCAAGTTCCGCTAGTCTCTTTTGCTTCTTCATGTTGACTAACGGGCATTTCTTTGGTGAGACCTGCGAACTCTTGCGAAACGGCAAATAAGTAAGAGAGCCATATTATCTTTACCTTGCGAGATATTCACAGTATTCACTAAGACAGCCGTACAAAATTAATAGGACCTTTCGGCGCTAACCGCCAGAGATGAATCGACTAACGGCCAATGCCTCAAATAACCGACAGTCCGTAGAAGGCGTGGGGGGGGTATGCTGAAGGAGAAAACATGGGGAGGTTCGTATTTAGCGGAAATTCTCCCCAACACCAGGACGAGCCCTGACAGAAGAGACGCCGAGATATGAAAGTGTTCAGTGCATGAATAGATTGATTTGAATAAACACAGCAGAGCAGTTTCGAAACGCTTCTAATTTTTGCCTTATTGACCCCCCCCCCCCACCTCTCCTCTCCATTACCCTACGAATGCAGTACAATGCATAAGGCTGTTTCCGCTCTCTCGAAAGACATTTGGATCGAGAAGAAAATAACATCAGCATTCCTGTCACAACAAAGGCTTGGGATACTCCACATACGGGCTCGACGACCTTAATTGTTTACTGGAGTAAATTGCTGACTGCACGAATTGGGTGAGTGACTCTTTTCGACTTCACCGCGACCCATTATGGGTCGGATCGCCGCAACATTTGAACGTTAGTACGCGAAAGAAGTGAAGTAGAGAGAGTTCGTGATGGATAGTCCCCCGCTCGATTCAGGTTGCCAGATGGGGAAAAATAGCTGAGAATTGGAGCTAGGTATGAAGAGGTGGCTGAACATCTCGCAATATAGCAACAGCCCAGGTGTTCCCCGCAAGGTAAGGTTGAGCAGTAGGAACACAAAATTACAAATAGAGCTTCGGTAGTCGGGTCCCTGATCGGCTCCCGCCCAAGCTAAACCTACGTCTTCTACCGCTCGGGGACCGTGGATTGGGCACCAAAAATCCGTCTGAGAGATAAAGGAGCAGCTGATTTGTCCACACGCTGTCCCGCGTTCTAGTTGACTGCTTTAAGTCAGACGCACCCTCGATGGCCATTTGCTTACTCGCTAATGGAGGCGGAATGCGTGCCTCCATTCCAGAAAGAAACTGATCAAAACCCGTCATATTATTTATCATAACTATCTCATCGTTTCCCACTGATGTTTGCCGCAATGCTCGCGATAAGATAGCGGCAATGTTAGAAAAAGACCACCAAGACGAACAGTGTCAGGTCCTCGGTAGTATAGTGGTGAGTATCCGCGTCTGTCACATGCGAGACCCGGGTTCAATTCCCGGCCGGGGAGAATGTTTTGCTTTTCTGCCACATATTGCACTTTTGCATAAAAACTTCACAGCTACATAAGAACGCGAAAAGGAGGGGAATGAAGCAATATACCACACACATCAAAGGAAATTCGTTGAGGTAGGCTTTTATTAGCTGTCATTCAGTTACGACACCCACTTACACATTCCTTTGTAGAGTTTGCAGTGGTCATAATAGCATGAGCCCATGGTGCCCGAGCATGGTGAGGACCCAATGTAACCTTAGAAAGCCTTGCGCTCTTTTCTACACCTAATCACCACGCGTCAAAAGTGCAAAACTGTCTCTTTGAGAGATTATCCATAGAGAACGAGGCCTGAATGAAGAGCCAGGAGGCGGAGCGACTAGGATTTTGTGCAATGGCCAATGTTTCATTACAAGTAAGGGAAGGTCTTTTGGCTCTAAGAAGGTACACGATACTCTTCAATGACTTAACAGAGTAAAGACTTCTCAGGAACCGCAGTGTACACAATAGGTACTCGCATGGTGGGGAATTTTCGCCAAATACGACTCCCTTCCCCAGTTTCCCTCCCCGGTACGACTCCCTCTTATAACTTAACTACCCATGCTACCACTAAGTTTTCCCAAAAAATAGCGGAGGACTACACATTCTTTCCGTTGGTGAAACTGGCGCTTGTCAGGAAGAGGCGGTGGGAGAGTTGGCGCCACGCCAGTCCGATCTCCACCAATTGTGGAAGCGCCAAACGCAGCCCCAGCTGAATCAGCGATTGAGACTGCATACAGCGGGCAAAAAACAACAAAATTTAACTTTTGCGTGACCAATTTCAACTCCCTTCGTTGCGATTTCCACAGCGGAATATGTCCTCTGGTTGTACAGACGATTCGGGTCTAGACTGGCGCAAGACAGAGCTGTGGCAATTCAGAACCTTACCATATCTTGCCAGACCAAAAGTACGGCGCTGGATATAGTTTAGATCAAGAAGTGTGTTGCATTAAGACAGATTTCGCAATGAGCCAGCGAAAAGTCCATAGGTAATGGGGTTAGTTAGAAACAGAAAAGTATGTGGTAGTTTGGATGCCCGTGGAGAAGGGTGAGAAAACGGCCGAAAACGCCTCAGTTGAGCACCTTGTGCTTACCGCCGCAACCTGAACACTTTCTGATGTGAAACCTATACAGGCTTGTTTGGTGCAGTGTCCACTACTTCTTTCTACCAAGAGCTTACCAGGGAAGTCCGCCAACTTACCATGGAACTTTGAATGGAGACCTGGGTAGATCGATAGAGTCTATAAGTTTATTTACAAATATAGATAGCAAAATTGCAACCTATATTTCACAGGCAACTTATGAGCAGGTGAATGTTGTAAGTGAGTGCAGTGGGGTGGAGGCTTGGTGGTGAGCTGTGAAAGCATAAGCGAGGAATCGCATACGTCGAAACGAGTCGTGGTGGTTCAGTGGTAAGGTTCGACGTTCGACTCGATTCGACGTATGCGATTTCCTCGCTTATGCTTCACAGCTCACCACCAAGCCTCCACCCTACTGCACCATTACAAACTTTACCTGCTCATAAGTTGCTTGTGAAATGCAGGTTGCAGTTTTGCTATCTATATTTGTAAATAACCTTATAGACTCTATCGATCTACCCAGGTCTCCATTCAAAGTTCCATGGTAAGTTGGCGGACTTCCCTGGTTAGATCTTCAGAAGTGATCGTGGGCTCTGCCTTCGAAGAGGTCTCATATATATGAGCTGTGCGACATAGAGTTCGATTTTGGGGGAGCTGATGCAAATGTGAACATACTGCATGAGAAAGGGTCGGGAGGAGCTGCTGGGACGGGTGGGGGGGGGGGGGGGGATGTTGAAAGCAGTGAAATGTTGAAAGGTGCATGTGTGTTGCAATAATACTCCTGCTATCAGACGGTACATTTCATATTCTTCCTCTAGTTTTTTCCACAACCCCTTTCTCGGTGAACTCTGCAGAATTTTTCGACTATATACGAATCCCTTGAAGGGTTATTTCAATCGCACGCAACGCACTTATCCTGGTTCTTTGCACTAATGCAAAATGCCTACAACTCCCTCAGGATCATTCCATCATAGTAAATCCAATAACGCTATTGGAGTAGTGTACAAAAAAGAAAAGGGCAACAACCAATCAGCTAAATGAAAGGGTCAACATTGCCACATATGTAGCGCTTTCAGTTTCGCCCTTTATTCAGTGAAACAGCATCAAATGGTCTTGAGACGATTAATCAGGCACCATCCTAGACACCATCCTAGACACCTTTTTATAAGGACAAATCTAACAGCGACGTTCCCCCAGAGGTCCCGTAGGGTAATTTGTCTCCGGAAAATGTCACATGAAGAAAGCAAGTAGAAGCGAAGCACAGATACCTTGCAACTGACACATGCGAGCCGTTTTTCTTGTGTTCTGTTGAAGTACGCATCAGTTTGTCCCTCAATTCAAGCAGATCGATGAAAGACCGTCGTTTTGAAGGAGTCGACTTGATCTTGTGCGGAGTGGCGGTGAGGTCCAGCTGAAAAAAATTGTTTGAAGGTCAGCATACGAAGAAACACCCTTGACTGACAGGTGAATCATTACATGGTCCTCTGAGCTATTTCCACAAATTACCTCAATAGGAAAACATTTAGAAGTACTTTCAAACGAGATCAGCTGAATGGGTACATTTGGTGCCATCTGTCCACCCTAAGTTTGGACATGGAGCAGAAAGGTAGTCGTTATCCTTGCAAGAGGGAGAGCACCAGCGGGCGTGATTGAAGCACAGCCAGGATAGCCTTTCCCACCATTTGCTGCGATCTCAGAATGAAGCAGTAATTGGAAAAGACAGTACCTTTCCTGACTGGGTGTTTTGACCCAGTCAGGAAAGCTACTGCCTTTTGCTGTTCCCACTAAAAGGCAGACATGAAACTACACTGCTATTCACCTTATTTCGCTGCACATATTTGCTACATTATTTAGATTTTGGAGCCGGGAGATGGAGAATGCTCTTTATGATGCATTCTTCAGCACACAAGCCCGGTAAGAGTGAGTTGCTGGTTCGACACTTGTGACCAGGGCCCAAGTGTTTCCCCATAGTTCACACCCTTCGGGGAGACAATACAGCAGCTATAGACTAACAAACTTCAATTGATATCTACTTGCCCAGGTGTGTATCGATTCGTGCCACCTACAATCCTAAGTACTTTTGAGACGACGAGGAATATGAGAGAAAACGATCATTACGTCCTTTTTCGGTTAGTCTCATTCCCTGAACCGTCGATTACCTTGACGCCCGCTGAGTAAAAGGCTCGTTCTCTTGATTTTCAGACACCTTCTCTAGACAGTACAGTCCTGCCCGCAAACATGGGGAACGTACAACTTTCGCAGTTCAAAAATACGTGAGGAAAACGAGACCCGCTCGCGACGAAGTTACCACCCCGCCCAATGGCTACCAAAACACCCATTTTCGCTTTCCGTAAGCTTTCTGATGATGTGGTTATCCCACTACTACCTTTATTAGAACGCGGAATCAAGCCAAGCAATCACTGATGCACTCCTCCTTCTTAGGTTGCTAAGATGGGGCGTCAGACTACTACAACACGAGAAATTCATGACAAAGAGCGCATTATTCGCTGGCGGACGGTTGGGCGCGGTCAGGGGGAATGATTGTGGCGCCGTGCCAAACCCGTTCTCCGTTGTTAGAGCAAGCGTATTTTATGATTGTATCATGTCGTCCTACTCCTTTTCTACCACTTTTTGTCGAATGCGCGCTACAACAAGAAGGCAGAGAACGGACTTTGACGGCGTGACACACTCATACTGCCTGATACGCCCCAACCGTCCGCAGCGAATTAGAGTATAGACGGTGATTGATAAAGTCAGAAAAGCTGAGAAGTTGTAGACCGATAACAATTGCATGATAGGAAAGGATAATTTTGTATTGTAAAGTGCATTATAGAGTAAGAGTTATTATCGCAGTAATATAACTAAGCAGACATACTTCAGGAAAAAAATGTAGTGATGAATGTACCTGTTTGAGGGCGTCATTCAGGTCACCACATTTCACACGTAGCTCGGAAAAGTGTAAAATGGTGTTTTTGACGATCTCGTGAATTTCAGCCACCCAGAACTTCATCGACAGTCCCAACGCCCGTCGACATTCATTGATGAACAATTGAGACTGAGCGACGGCCTAGAAAAAGACAAACTGGAACAAGTTTTAAACCGGCAACAAATCAAAATTCAATTTTCAATAGTAGTAGTAATTATTCAGCAAGAAATTGCATTTTGGCCCATTATGTCAAAGCACTCCACATTGATATCGTAGAAATTTTATGGCCATCCGCCAACCATTCATCATTCAGTCCCAATCCTTTTATGGGACACAGTGTACTACACAATGTACGTCTATTAACAATCGTGTGAACACTCTGTATCAGGGCAGGTAATCGCGTTGTGCTGAACTTCTGCTGAACACGACCCCTCCCCTCCGTAAAAAAGCGAAAAGACAAAAAAGTAGTACATATCGATTAGGAGAAAGAGTTTCGATTTTTCAGAGATGCGCGCGAGGTTCGAAACGCTTTGTCATTGTTGCGCTGGAGCGAGCTACTTTGCGACATGGAGCCAAGGAACTTCAAGAGTACCTTTTTTGAGTATTCATAACTTTCTTGAGAGTGGAGCTTCTGAAGAGTGAAAGAGCAGGGCTGTCAAG